AAGCTGCACAATGAGAAACAAATGGCTCATTGTGTTTGTTGTAGCTCAGTAGGCGGTTTTGTGAGATGCAAATACCATCGATTTACTGTGATTGGAATGTGACAGCAATTTGTAACAACAGGGACTTTTTTTCTTACTGTATGAGGAGTGTCTGCTTTTGTGGTATGCCCACCCCCACCCCCACCCCCCAAATCCCGAGAAAGGTCTGCAAAAGAAATGTTCAGAAATATTCGGAACGAGTTTAGAAAATGTGTGAACCCTGTCTGAACTTCTATTAGATTCTCCCACCACTCACTCTTTCAACATCAGAACAAGGAAAGCATTCTTTATAACAATGTGTGAAATCCCAGAAGGGATTTCATGACAGAATTACAGTGAAAATCTGCCTCAGAGAGATTGCACGCAAAAAAACAAATGATTGGATGGATAAACATGTAAATCAAAATTTGAATCTCCACCCCCATCCTTCCTTCCTTGAAAGGAAATAAGAGCTGTCTGCTTTGGCCTGAACTCCCGGCCATTAGCAGTACAGAGAGCCTGGGAGACTAGAGGATGAGGGGCCCAGTGAGGAGCTTCGGTCAGTCCTACAGCTTGACTGTTCTCATAAATAGATCCCAAATGGCTGTTTCCCCTTGGGGAAACAGGAGAGGAAAGGTCATGAGAAGGAAGCCATACCTTGACAGGGTATAGTGCGTTCATGTTTATAATGTGCCAACTGTTAGCTGCCCTTGGTTGACTCCCCCAGGCACAACAGAATTAAACAGTCTTGCACCATCCCCACTATTGGTTGTGGCTTTTGGTTTTAAAAATGTGGTACTAAAGAGATGGGGGCGCCTTAATCTTAAACTAACAATCCTCATTTGTTGGATACTGAATCATGAAACAGAAAAGAATGAAAAAAGAAACAACAGATAAGCAAACACTCTCCTTTTTTCTCACTCTTATTTTTTCGCACTTTTTTCACACACAGCAGACTTTGGTGCTGACAGCATCATTTGAGCTCTCCAAGCACACTACGTGTTTGTTACGTTTTTAGCTACTGGAGCTTGGAGGTTCAGGATCATTTTGTAAGCACCAGAAGTGCACTTCAAGTCATAGTTCCTTTAATGGCTCCTTTAATTGGACAGGAATGGATATTAGGACTTATAATTGGGCAGAAACTTTGTGTGGCATTAGATTAGAAACTCAAGTGTCAACAATTTAACAGGTCTAATTCCTATTGAAAAATAAGTCACTGGATGTTCAGGTTGCCAGGCGTGCTGTGTTTAGCCTGTGAGAGCTGGCACCTTGCCAGTGTGGATAGTGGGAGCTTCATATAGTTAGCAGGATGTGTTTTTATGATCACATAGTCTTACGCTTGAAAGGGAAATAAAGTGAAATACTTTACCCTTCTCTATGTTGTAGGACATCTTAAAGGAGTCTTTGCTGTGAAACAAATTCTCTTTGACAGTATGAATGCTACTTCTGTGGATGCCCAAGTCATAGAATTTTTACTGAAACAAACTTTTTAAACTCTTGTATGCTTTCTTTTTTTTTGTAACTAATAAGCTAAATGAAAGAGGAATGTACTAAACTTCAAACTCCAAAGACAGGGTTTCTTTCTGGCTATTAAGAAACCTGACCCTCAGTTGCCAGACCTGAGTGCAGATGACAGTTTTTGCCCAGGCTACCACTGGCTTGTGTCCAGCATGTTTGAATCGACACTGTGCACTGGTAAAATGGCAGGACTTGCTAAAGAAGCAGAATCATTGGGTAGGTCATTTTGAATGCTGATTAAAAGAGCAGAAACAAATTGTCATGAAACCCACTGCTGTCTAGTCAATTCCTACTCACATAGACCCTAGAGGACAGAATACGACTATCTTTTTTTTAAAATTAAATACTTTTCTTGGGAGTGCTTACATCTCCTATCACAATCCGTACATTCATACACTGTGTCAAGAACATTTGTACATATGTTGCCATCATCCTTTACAAAGCATTTTCTTTCTACTTGAGCCTTGGTATCAGCTCCTCATTTTTCCCTCTCCCTTCCCCACCCTCCCTCCTTCATATGAACCCTTGATGAGCTATAGATAATTATTTTCATATCTTACATCATCCTCTATCACCTCTCACCCACTTTTCTGATACCCTGTTTCCCCGAAAGTAAGACATCCCTGAAAATAAGACCTACTCACAGTTTTGCCTCCCACTGAAATATAAGGCATCCCCCCGAAAATAAGGCCCCCAAAGCTACCATAGCTCTAGACTCTGGACCGTAGCGGTGGGCACCGCTGTACAGTTCACTGTTGGCCACAGCACAGCTGGAGCAGACAGGAAGTGCGAGGTGTCTTTTAATAAAACAATAAACAATGTGTACCATATTCTTCTTCATGGAAAAATAAGATATCCCCTGAAAATAAAACCTAGCGTATCTTTGGGACCAAAAATTAATATAAGACACTGTCTTATTTTCGGGGAAGCAAGATATTTGTCCCTCTGGGTGGGGGTTATATATTGATCCTTGTGGTAAATTCCCCCTCTCCCCCCACCACCTTCCCCTTATCCTCCTGGTATCTCTATTCTCATTGTTGGCTTTGAGGGGTTTATCTATCCTGGATTCCCTGTGTTGTGCCCTCTTATCTGTAGCAGTGTGCATGTTCTGGCCTAGTCTTATTTGTAAGATTGAATTGAGGTCATGATAGTAGAGGGGGAGCTGCCTGGCTACCAAAAGATATAGCATCTGGGGTCTTAAAGGTTTGAAGATAAATGAGAAGCAACAAAGTCCACATGGAAGAAGCACACCAGCCTGTGTGATCATGAGGTGTCGATGCAATCAGGTATCAGGCATAAAAAAAACAAAAAAACATATCATTGTAAATGAGGGGGCGTGCAGAGTGGAGACCTAAAGCCCATCTGTAGGCAACTGGACAACCCTTACAGAAGGGTCATAGGGAGGAGACAAGCCAGTCAGGGTGCAGTCTTGCAATGATAAAACATAATGTTCCTCTAGTTCTTCCGTGCTTCCCCTCCCCACCCCCACTATCATGATCCCAATTCTACCATACAAAACTGGCTGGACCAGAGAATGTACACTGGTACAGATAAGAACTGGAATCACAGGGAATCCAGGACAGATAAATCCCTCAGGACCAATAATGAGAGTGGCAATACTAGGAGGGGAGGGGGAAGGTGGGGTAGAAGTGGGGAACCGATCACAAGGATCTACACATAACCCACCCCTGGGGTACAGACAACAGAAAAGTGGTGAGGGGAGACGTCGGACTATGTAAGACATGACAAAATAATAATAATTTATAAATTATCAAGGGTTCGGGAGGGAGAGGATGTAGGGAGGGAGGGGAAAAATGAGGAGCTGATCCCAAGGGCTCAAGTAGAAAGAAAATGTTTGAAAACGATGATGGCAACAAATGTGCAAATGTGCTTGACACAATGGATGGCTTTATGGATTGTAATAAGAGTTGTACAAGCCTCCGATAAAATGATTAAAAAAAATATATTCTTGAAAAAAAAACAAACTAGAGGAATGTTGTGCGTTTCATTGGTGCTATCCTGCACCCTGACTGCGTTATCTCTCTTGTGACCCTTCTTTGACCCATAGTAGGTCTAATTGTCTACAGATGGGCTTTGGAATACAACTGTCTTATGGGGTTTGCAAGACTGTAAATCATTATGGATGCAGATTGCCACATCTTTTTCTGGAGAGGGGCTGGTGGACCTCATTATTACCAACTGAGTGCTTTCACTACTGTGCTACCAGCCAAGCACATTAACCCCGGTGCTATCGGGGCTCCAGTTGCCATTAGGTTACTCCAATTCATGGTGTCCCCAGTTGTGTCAGAGTAGAACTGTGCTCCACAGGGTTTTCAGTGGCTGGTCTTTGTCAAAGTAGATTCCCAGGCCTGGTTTCCAAGATGCCTCCATGTGGAGTTGTCCCTCCAGCTAACAATCTAGCACATAATCTGTTTGCACTGCCCTTATTCTTATCCAGGAGTCTGGTGGCATGGCAGGTTACTTGTGAGGCTGCTAACCACCAGCTCAGCATCTCAAACCCACCAACTGCTCTGTACCTTTTCCCCGGTGGTGGGAATTTTGGAGAGAAAAATGAGGCTTTTTGTTCCCATCAAGATGGACAGCCTCAAAAACCCAACAGGTCAGTACTACTCTGCCCTATATGGTCACTCTGAGTCAGAATAGACTCTGCAGTGGTGAGTTGGGGCTAATTTTTAGTTATCATTGTGGTCAAGATTATCTTGTTAATTAGAAGATAGTTATCTTGATCCAGGAAACTATGAAGTTGTGTTTTTTTTTCTAATCCACCCCACAGTCATCTCTGAAAGAGAGAATGGTAAATGTCAGTGTTGCTAAGCAAAAGGTCAATAGCAGGTGGAAACTTCCAACCATGCTGTCTGCTCCCATGAAGATTTCCAGCCTTGGAAGCTCAAAGGTGCAATTGTAGGAAAAGAATCCCCCTGAGTCAGAATGGATTCGATGGAAGTGATCTTCGCTTTCCTTCAGATTGTCTTTGCCCTCTGTCTCTGTCATTGTATCCAGTTGGCATTCCGATGACTCTTGTAAGCCAGCTCCTGAATTAAGCACTTTGTTTGCTGATTTTAGCTTTCATTAGTATTGCCTTTCATGATCACTATCTTTTTAAATCTCATCTTTATTCGTCTTTGGGGTTGGACAAGGAATAAGTGTGAGATCATTGCAGTACAACATACAGCTTTCACAATGGTAAGATATGGGGGTTTCTTGTTATAAAAAGGACAGTCTGAGTGTGGTTCATCATAACTCAAATATTTTGTAAGTTGGTACTACCTGTATAAAGAAACCATTGTTTCCTTACATGTTTATAAATCAGTAAAACGAATCAATGCAAGTACAGGAAAGAAAAATATCTCCTCAGAGTTCCCAGAGTTCTATACCTTGTCTCCATTGGTGGGAACTTGGCTTCAAGGTTGACTGATGCCACCTTGATGGTCCCTTTTCTGCAGGTCGGAGGCCACACAATGTTGCCCATTCGCTGGATGCCTCCGGAGAGCATCATGTACAGGAAGTTCACCACAGAGAGTGACGTCTGGAGCCTGGGAGTCGTGTTGTGGGAGATCTTCACATACGGCAAACAGCCCTGGTACCAGCTATCAAATAATGAGGTGAGAGATATCCAGGACCCCCAAGAGTTCTGAGTGCTTCCATCAGCACTTCCTGATGCAAACCAGGATGTGATTTGATTTGAGCCACTCTGCCAGAGGCAGCACCAGCCACATCTCCTTCTCTCTCTTTTAATGCCTGGACAAAGCCTAATTGCCCTCTAAATGTAAGAGTCTGAAGAGAGAAAAGCATAGTGTTTGCTGATCTAACTATGGTGCTCTCGTGATGGCACTGATGAATGACTATGCTGTGAATAAGCAAAATAATAGCAGTTGTGGGGTTGCAGCAGCCCTCTAGTCCAGCTAGTGCCTTGGAATTGCTCCAATGGGGCCTCAAGGGTCTTTTGTTCACATTGCACCGACACATCAACTTCACGGAAGCATTAACTTTCATAAGTTAGCAAGATAAAACTCCCCACCCCATCCTAACACATTTACAATTGTGTGTATGTTAGAGGCACAGCTTCTTGGTCAGCCATCTCACGTATTTTGCTCACCTATTTCCATCTTTTATCCAAGTCCATTCCAGAAGATGGCCCGTCATGTCTGTGGTCTGAGGTTGCCTCATCAGGCTGCACGTTAGCTGAAAAGGGAACTCTAAAAGGCACAGACATTCCAGTTTGAGGTTTGTTCCTCCATTGTTGTCTGCAGCTGGAGAGACACTTGATGGCCCCAAGCACCACAGAAAGAAATATTGCCTCGTCCTGTGCCAACCCCATAACTCAGTACAGATTGGAACATGGTGAACCATAGAGTTTTCATTGGCTAATTTTCAGAAGTAGCTGGCATCATAGCAAAACACATGCTCCTACTGATAGATAGGCAGTAGCTGCAATTGAGACGCATGACTAGGAATGGAGCAGTGACTTCCGCATGGACGGCAGGCACTCCACCACTGAACCACCAATGCCCCATCGTTTCTGCACTCATTTTGTGAAATCAAGTCCCAAAGAATGGAGAAAAAATAATGATATTAAGTATGATGTAAACAAATCTATTATCATTACTCTCTTTTGAAAAAAGTGCTATTCATTGAGTAGACATCTTTACTATAGCCTTCTCCTCTGTTTTTCTGCCTCCCTTCCTTCTTGTCTGATCCTGTCATTGATCTCCATCCAGGTGATTGAATGCATTACTCAGGGCCGAGTCCTGCAGCGACCTCGAACATGCCCCCAGGAGGTATATGAGCTGATGCTGGGGTGCTGGCAGCGAGAACCCCACATGCGGAAGAACATAAAGGGCATCCATACCCTCCTCCAGAACTTGGCCAAGGCATCTCCAGTCTACTTGGATATTCTGGGCTAGAACCCTTCCTCCCAGACCAATCCTTCCCCACGCACCTCTTCAGATGGGTGAAAGGATGAACGCCTTTGAACTGCCGCGGGCTGCCATCAAAATGGTGTTCTTAACTCTGACAGTATTAACAACAAAGACAAGGCGACGCTTTCAGAAGGAAGCAATGTGTACCCCATCTATAGACACAGTCTTGACTTCTTTTGGACATCATCTCTTCTCTCTTTCCATTTCCCTTGATTTGTTCCCCAATATTTGTTTCATTATTATTACTTGTCTTCCCTGCTTCTTGGTCCTTACTCTTTCTTTTTACTCGGTCAGGCTTCTGCATTACTATTAACTCTGCATAGACAAAGGCCTTAACCAACCCAATTTGTTATATCAGCAGACACTCCAGTTTGCCCACCATGACTAACAATGCCTTGTTGAATTCCTGCCTTTGATGTGGATGAAAAAAAGGGAAAACAAATATTTAACTCAACTCTGTCACTTCTGCTGTACAGACACTGGGAGTTTCTGGGGATTCCCTTCTATTTATTTATTTATTTATTTATTATTTATTATTACTGTTCTTGTTGTTTTGGGATGGCTGAAGCCTATCTATTAAAAAGGAAAACTTGTGTTCAATCTGGGAAGCCTTTCTCTATGGGAGAGATGGAAAGCAGAAAGAATGAAGATTTATTGTGAACTCCGGTATGTGGAAAAATAAAGACAGCCATTGGGATCCGTTGGCATCAATCCCAACTTAAGACAAACCCACCAACTGTTAGCCAGAAGGAATATATTCAGCACCTTCCCCGAGGAACTTTCTGAGGAAGAAAAGACTGCTGAACTCAGTACCATGGGACTGACTATTCTTTTCCCATCACCAGAGGCACTGACTACAGTGTAGGAAAGAGAAAATGTGATGTTGATGAGTGAGGCACAAGATAGTGCCTCAAATGACCAGATAAAACCTTAGCCTGGTGTCTGTAGGGTATAGGGATGGCACTGGCTTGTTTCTCGAGTGCTATCAACCCGGCCTTTAGCACATTAGGCTGAAAACAGGTGGATTCTTGTCCAGAAATAAGTTCAGGGTCAGGTGTGAGCACCAAGGACTTGGAAGAGATGAGGCACACTGTAAATGTGGAGCCAAGCTTCTCTTCTACTGAACTTTTTAGATAGCACGACCCTCTGACCCTTATCTTCCACCCCACCCATCTTTATAACTGTACAAGCAAAACTGTGCATGGTCTTTGTCAATTAATACCTGTGTGCAGAAACTAACACTCCAGGTGTTGTACCCCCGATAGGTAGAGCAGATCTGTAAAAGGTATAACATATGTATTTAGGGGAAGCTAATGGAGTTCATTAGCTGAATTTAAGTGTCTCTGCATTGTATGGTGGTGATGGGTGTTAACTTCTGTGGACCCTGAAACCTGGATGTCTTCATTTATTTGAACCAACGGGGCTGTGGGCAATGCAGAACCCATCCCTGAGGGCAATTAGACCTCACCCCAGGATACCACGTGTACAGACGTTCTGTATACACTGGCCAAGGCCTTGCTCTGTGGCTCTGGTTGGGAGAGTGGTGTCATTCCAAGTGTCCTCCATTGTCAGTATGTTGTTTTGTTGTTTTCACTTCCTGGAAATAATAAAAATTAGGCACAGCATGCTAATGAGAGGCTGTGCCCAGGATGAGCTTTAGAGATGTGCTTCTGGGAATAGTAGTTGAATTGGCAGAAGTAAATTTACAGGTGTTTGGAGAGTCAGTTAAACCAATGAAGAAAATTTTGCTCTTCTTCAAGAAAATTTGCTACCCTCTGTGAGGGGAATTTTGCTAACCTGACATCTTTATAACATGAGCCAGATTGGAAAGGAGTGATTTTTCAAATTCATCTTTGCTCATTTTATTCCATACTTGTTTCTGAAGGTGCAGTAGCTCTATTTAGGTTTGGCTTGCACCCATTAATTACTGGGGCATCTTGTTTTACATTACAGGCTTTGAAAGCCAGTTCTCAGAAACTTCAAAAGTGTAAATTAACAGAGAACAAAAGGAAATCTAGGAACATCAGTGGTCCATTGAGGGGGTTGGGCAAGACAAACTGAATAATTTCTTTTTACATTGTGTGCTGGCCTATGAGAGATGGGCAGAAAGCTGTGTGTTCTCTTTGTTGGTGAAAAAACCAAAACCCTCCAGAATACACATAATAATATAATGAAAGCCATATCTCCATGATATATGTGTGTGCATGTATATCATACCAAGGAACCACAGTACTGTTAAGACACTGTGGAACTCAGTAAAGCAGAGAGGAAGGGGCAGATTTGTACACATCTTTTCTAGATTCCATCAGCAGTGACCTGATCGCCTATGCATGTTTGTCATTCTGCGTGGGCAGCCAGCCAAGCTAGGGAAAGAAGCTGCAAGTTCTTATTTTTTTTAACAGAGAACTAAAGAGGTCATATTAGAAGAAATCGCATCCAAGGAGGGCTGTGCAGGATTAGAGCAACAATTAAATGCAAATAAGAAGATGGGAGCATTTCACTCCATTCCAGTTGTGTGCTTTCCTCTAAAGGAAAAAAAAAGCAAAAAAAAAAAAAATCTCCTTATCTCCTGACTAGTCCCTCAAGGCCTTGAACTAAAAGGTTCTATGCAAGTGCAAAGTTGTATAATGATTTACACTGCTACTTATTATTGTTACTATTATTATTATCATCATTATTTCCTCAATTGTCTCGTCTATGTGCTGATTTCAGAGATGTCTCATGTTGAAAGAATCCCAGATTTCTCTTAAAGTAGTAAAGTGAGCCACAGAATATTTTAAAATATCCTTCTCTGTCCCTCCACCACCTCCTTTTCTCATGATCTTCTAGTTTTCCAAAAATTAGCATCCTCATTCTACAATTCATTGGCCACCAAATGTGGCCTGCCACCAAATTCCACAGCCCAAACCCCAGGGAGGCATCACTTCTATTTATCAACAATTTCACTGTTTTCCAGACACCTTTCACACTGGATTCTGATATGGCAGGAATCCTCTTATCATAGGTGAGGAAATTGAGGCGAAGTGGCATGCTAGAAGCCTCCAGGGTGCTACTGGCCCCACTGGGACTTAATCTAAGTGTTCTGACTGCTATCTCATTCTTCCCTTGAATAGTCTGTTGAAGAACACTGTCATCTACAAACAAGTAGTTCAGGAAAGAAAGCACATTTACATCATTTCATGCATCAGAATCCGAACTTAAAAGAAGTAGAACACATGTGATGAAGAAGACCTGAAAGGTCGCCACATACAATCCTGATCATGACGTCTGCTAAACCCTTGTACACTGTACCCATTTCAGAATTGGGCTTATTTAGAACCCTCTTCTCATAAAGCAGTACATCAGAATTCATATCATACCTGCGTGCTCACATCTGTGCTACTTGTAGCATGCTCATGTATTGATATAGATGTTATAAATTTTATTTATATATACTCAAACACACGGGCATAGTTTGTGTGTTGATGTATAAATTTATAGGCACCCAGTGATAGAAATAGCTATAAGTAGGGTGTGGTATGAATAATTTGCTTAAAATCTGCCGAATAACCAAAACTTTCCAATGTCTTTTTGCTGTTAGTGCTTCCACGCCCCACACTGGTAGGATTGCCTTCACTTTTTAACCCCATGCAGTACTGCATCGGTGGAAGACATCATTCAGAAAAAGTGCTTCCCAACACAACTGAATCAAAGCCATCCCACTTCCACCAGCCCTCTCCCTGGTGCCTTGCAGGGAAAACGCAGACTGGAGGAGATCTCCTTGTAGAAAGGAAAGAAGTGATTGCCTTCCCTCTGTTTTCATTCATTCCTATCATGTGCACATTTCCCACGGTGACCCCTTTACACTTGTGTTTAGAGTCCATGCATTCCAGCAAAGAACTGGAATGCTGGGAGCCCCAGGTCCTGGAGGCCAAGGGAGAGAAGTCTGAGACCCCATAGTGAGATGAGCAACTCTTGAGAATTCCCACATCTGACTCTGAATGCAACAACCCCCAGAGGAGAATGGCTCCCTTTGTAAAGAACCATGACAACATCATTCCCTGGCCAGGAATGGGCTTTTTTTTTTTTTAATCTTTCTTTTTTGCAAATTAGACACTCTACAATGCCAACAACGTAAAATTGTATCTGATTAAATAAATGACTGCACACAAACACATAGCCTCAATTTTCTTGCTCCACCATTTTTGTCTTGTTTTGTATTTTTCTCTCTTCATCCTGTTAAGAACTGTTAGTTTCCATCTTGAGCTTTCGGTGGACCATATACGGCTGCTACAGAAATCTTCTGAGAGTCCTGGGTATGGATCTGACTCCTCAGATGGCAACCTTAGCAGTTGCAGCAGTTTCTTCACAAGGCACCCCTGGAATGCAGAGACTCTGAAGTTATGATAGCTTATATGTGAATTTCCAATGTTACTCTCAAGAATTAGGGGTGGGAGGGACTTAGAGTTAAATATGATAGCCCAGGGAAGTATATGTTCTTGTTGTCAGGGTGAGAATGAATCTCTGCTGCTCAAGTCAAAGGTTCTTGAATATTCTTTGTTTTGCAGTCTTCTTACCATCATTTAATTGTGTATTTATTTATACACACACACAAACACACAGCTCCATTCATCACAAACTCAAAGCAAAGCAAAAAAATAAGTAAATAAACAAATATGTATATGTGTTGCAAGCAAAACACTGTGAATTTCACAACAGCAACCAAGCAACTCTTTCGCCATCTTATTATATGCCTCAGGAGACGAAATGTGGAAAGGTGGGGATGTCATTTTACAGTCTATGCATTCTAGGCCAAGTTGTGTTGATTTTTTTGCATTAATTTAATAAAAATGATCCCGAGTAAAGGTTGACTGAATGTTTAACATAATAAAAGCTGCTAGTAGCAAGTGTTTGAACAGGAAACCAGAAAAAACAATTGGGGAAGATAAAATGAAATGTAAAAGACCTACATCTTGCAGCTTGTATATCTTTCTATTGCTTAACAAATGTATAATAGGTGGAAATGTTTTCAATACAAGGTCTTATAATTCAATGTGGATTTTGAATAATGTAATCCCTTGACTATTGACCAGACTCTGGTGAAAAATTGCTCCCTGCGTTCCTTGATCATTATCTATGAGTTACAAATCTGCCTAGAGATGTGGACACTCTCTACATTTGCTTCTGTATATGGAGGGCTGTTTGTATATATCCGGTCCATAGACACACACATTTCAATATCTGTCTGCAGATATATCTCCTTTTAAACTGTGACCTGGTATTTGGAATTCTCTTCTAATTTGGTTTATTTTCCTTTTAATGTGATGTCTCTGTGCCGAAATTTACCGGCTATTGTTTTGCAATCTGTTTTTGAGGTCTATTGCTTTATAAGACCCACTGCATCTTGGCTGATTTCAAAGTGACACCTGAATATCAGTGTTTAAAAAAAAAGTTTTGTTTGTAAATTATGTGACCAGCTTCTCTCAACCTGACATGGAAAGTCTCTTGTACTACAGTGTATTTAATAAAAATGATGTCTTACAATAAAATAACATCCTCCAAAAGAGAGACTTAAAATGACCTGATTACTTTTAGAAAATGTATTTAATTTTTACAAGGCATGGCACATATATATGTATGAGAGGGTACCTCCTAAAAAAACAGAATTTTTTTCCAAAGCTATGTATTTTTTTAAAAACAATCTTATCACTTTCAAAGTACTCTCCATTACACTTAATACATTTCTCAAATCTGCTACTCCATTCTTGGAAATATTTTTCAAGCTCATCTGTTTGGATGGCTGAGAGCACCTCCCTTGTTTTTTTCTTTACCTCTTCTACATCATCAATTCACTGTCCTTACATGTCCCTCTGCATTTGAGGAAACAAAAATAAATCACACAGTGAATTCAGGTGAGTAAGGTGCTTGGGGAAAGAGATACATGCTGTATTTTGCCAAAAACTGACCCACTGAGATGGCTGCATGAGCAGGTGCATTGTGCTGTCAAAACCAGTCCCCTGTCTGCCACAAATCAGGCCTTTTTTGTCACACACTGTTATGCAATCTTTTCAGAATCTCTACCTACAAAACTTGATTAAAAGTCTGACCTAGTGCAACAAACTTCAAATACACTAACCCCCTCACAACAAAAAAGCAAATGGACATCAGATTTTGGGGGTAACCCCTCATTTGTATATACATATGTATGGGGCTTCTTAGGTGGCACAGATACTTTGTACTTGACTACTAAGCCAAATATTGACATTTTGTACACACCCAGTGATTTCATTGTAGAAAGGCCCAGTGATCTGCTTTCGTAGTGATTGCAGCCAAGTAAAACCTATGGAGGAGTTCAACTCTGACGATGTAGCACATGGGTTGCCATGAACTGGAGTCAACTTGACAGCAGTGGTTTTGTTTGTGTATGGAAATGTGTATTTTCTAGGGGCCACCAAAAATACACACTGCATTCATTCCATTCGTTTTCATTTCAACCCACGATGACCCTACATGTCTTGAAGTAGAATTGTGCTTCATAGGGCCCTCCGTCACTGGCCTTTTCACTAATAGATCATCAACCCTTTTTTTTTGAGGCACTTCTGGATGGCCTTGGTACTCCAAACTTTTCTTCCATTAGCAGCCAAACCCATTAGCTTTTCATATCATCAAGGGATTCCTTAGTTAAGGACATTTTATTAGCTACAAGTTTCCTGACTGATCCCTTCACAAACCTAAGCTTTCAACTTATGTATAGCTAAAACGTCACAGTCCAGTTGAACCTTCTGCAGTGATGGAAACACTCTACCTAAGCTGTGCAATATGAAACACACTGACCACAGTGACCTCATAGTCACTTGAAATGTCTCCAATGCAACTGAAGAACTAAAATTTAAATACCCTTTAAATTTTAGCTTAAATAGCTATCTGTGTCCAATGGCACTATGTCGAATAGAACAGAATAACTATGGTTTCCGAGAAAGCAGACCCTAATCACCCACCAAGAGATGTGCCGTGTAATGTGACATCAGGAGGTCGAAGCAGTTCTGAGGATTAGAACAAGGAAGGCACAGATGCACATTGAAATGATTCACTACTTGGCTTCTGTGTTAAAGGGTCTTGTAGCTTGCCTTTTTTTCAATGTCAGAGTTGTTGCCACACTTTGATTGCTCAGAATGTCACAGTCCTGGCATCTAGTCCTTTTTCTGTTCTTCTTGACCCCGTCTGAGAGGCACATGAGGTATCAGGATGACACTTCTGTGGAGGCACAGGAACACAATCTTTGAGAGCAGACTGTCCCCAAACATAACACCTCTAGAATACAGCTGCACCTGGCTCCGTGGCACTGAACTGGTTTCCTGGAGTTAAACAATTCAGCAGAGACTTGGGTAATTAGAAGCTGAACAAGGAAAGAAAGCAACTTGTCCAGAATTCCAAATATGATATGTTTCTTTGGGATCCCACTCAAAGAAATGTTGACTTGAAGAGTAGTTAACCACCAATATTTCCATTATTCATATTTCCATTATTGCAATGAAGGTAAATAAAAAAGTATTGCTACAAAAATCATAGAAATCTTTGTTGTTTTTTTTAAAAAAAGCAAAATATGAGACTATTGTTTCTTGCCATAGCCTCCATCTAGTTATTTAAATACTTCTGAAGACTTTTGAAGATTCCATCTAATTCTTAACTGCAAAATTCTATTCTTCAATATATACCACATTAAAACATAATTGAGCCATCTATAAGGGCCACCAATCATATTTCTTTTATTAATTAATTTCTTTTATTTTGTGTACTTTTCCCCTCACTCCCTTTCTCTCCTGTGCCTATTAACCATCAAAGTTTTGTGTTATTTTAGTGTGAAAACATTGTCTTGGCTTTTTATTATAGTGGACTCCTATAGTTGTCCTTCTGTGATTGAATAATTTAATTCAGCACAGGAACTTCACAGATTCATCATTATTCTTTAACATTGCTTGGTATTCCAGTATATGTGTGCACCAAATTTCATTTATCCATTCTTCCACTGATGGGCATTTGGGATGTTTGCTTCTTTTTGCTGTTGTGAATAGTGCTACAATGAACATTAAGTATGCTTATATCTATTTGTGTAGTAGTTCTTATTTCTCTAGGACTTATATCAAGTACAGGGATTTCAAAGCCATATGATATGCGCTTATTCCAAATATTTTGAGAAAGCATCATACTACTTTCCAAAATGGTTGCATCATTGTATAGTCCCAGTGGCAGTAGTACTCATCTCTTGGCAATGTCACTTGTTGCTTTCTGGGTTGTTGTTTTTTTTAAGTTTTTTTATTAATGCTGGAGTGAGGTGCACAACAATTTTTGAATGAATGGTTTATAAATAGATAAATAGTTGGAAACTTGAAATAAGAGGTCAAAAATAAAAATGGCATTATGGTTGAATGATGCCTTCAGTATTTTGAGACATAGAATGAGTTTAGAAAGATGTCTAAAAGGACGTGCTAACTCAAAGTAATTTTCACCCACTTAAACATAAGATACCTCACAAACTATCTAATAAAGGACTCCTTTACCTAAAATTCAAATGAGCTCATCTAATTTGAAACCATATATTATTACCCTGCTTCCCCAAAAATAAGACAGTGTCTTATATTAATTTTTGCTCCCAACGGTGCGCTAGGTCTTATTTTCAGGGGACGTCTTATTTTTCCACGAAGAAGAAAACACATTTATTGTTTATTGTTTTATTAAAAGAGACCTCACACTTCCTGTCTGCTCCAGCTGTGCTGCAGCCAACAGTGAGCTGTGCGGCAGCACCCACCGCTATGATTCGGAGTCCAGAGTTATGGTAGCTTCGTGGGGGCTTATTTTGGGGGAGATCTTATTTTCGGGGGGATGCCTTATATTTCAGCAAGAGGCAAAACTGTAAGTAGGTCTTATTTTCGGGGGATGTCTTACTTTCAGGGAAACAGGGTAGTAATAAAATGGCCAAACGTGTTATCTATCAGTCTGTCCTACTATGGTGTGGAATATGTTACAGTGATGGAAATGATACCGCCAGTTTTTCAAATGCCACCAAAGTTCCTCATAGTGTTCCAGCAGAGCTTCCAGCATCAGAACACAACCAGAAGAAGGAAAAGGCTATCCCTTTTCTGACGGATTAGCTGCTGACAACCTCATGAACAGCAGCAGAACATTATGTGATGCAGTACCAGAAGATGAGTCCCTCAAATTGAAAAGTACTCAAAATACAGCTGGGGAAAAGCTTCCATCTCAAGGTAGAGTGAACCTCAATGACATGGAGGAATAAAGATTCCAGAACCTTCATTTGCTGATGCAGAATTACTCAAAAAGAGAAGAAATAGTTACTAGCATTCATTAATAACAGGAACATCACATGTACAAACTGTAAATCTAGGAAAACTAGAAGTTGTCAAAAATGAAATAGAATTTTAGTGGCCTGAAGTGCCCTGGGATTGGTCATTTGGAATCAGGCCATCATCTGGTTTACTATGCTGGGAGTGAAAAATCCAAAAAGAATAGCATCACATCCATTGTCAAAAGCAGCGTTTCAAGAAGTCCACACGACACAGAAACCAAACAGAATCCATTGACATCGAGTGGTCCTCTGTGGGTTTCTGAAGACCGTAACTGTTTACTGGAGTAGAAAGCCCAGTCTTTCTCCAGAGTGGCTAGTGGTTTTGAACAGCTGACCATGTGAATTGTAGCCCAACATGTAACTACTACACTACCAGGGCACAGAAGACATGCAAAACATGCAAAACTCCAGGAATTGGCAGAATACCAATAGAAGTGTGTCAACCTACTGATGCACCATTGGAAGTCTATACCAACAAATTTGGAAGACAACTACCTTACCAAAACACTGGAAGATGTTCATTTTTTGCCCATTTTAAAGAAAAGTAGCCCAACAGAATGCAAACATTATTTAACATTATCAATATCATATGCAAGTAAAATTTTGCTGAATATAATTTTAAACTGTTGTAACAATACATTCGCAGATTGCTACCAGAAAATCAAACTGGATTCGGAAGAAGATTTAGAATAAAGAATATCATTGCTGATGGCAGATAGATCTTGGCTGAAAGCAAAGAATAATAGAAAGATGTTTGTATTTTATTGACTCAGCGAAGGTATTCAACTGTATGGATCATAACAAACTATGCATAGCCTTGAGAAGAAGGGGAATTCCAGAGCATTTCATTGTTCTCAGGTAGAACTTGTACGTGGATCAAGAGTCAGTTGTGCAGCCAGAACAAGGGGGTACTGCCTGATTTAAAATCAAGAAGGGTGTGCATTGGGGTTATATTCTCTCAGTATGCTGAGCAAATAATCTAACAAGCTGGACTATAGGAAGAAAAACACGGCCTTAGGATTGGAGGAGGATTACACAAACTTCCTTAATGAAATGCAAGGGATTAAAGTATTTACTGATGAAAATTAAAGAATATAGCCTTCAGTATGGAATACAACTCATTTTAGAGAAAACAAAAATACAACTGTTCCAATAGGTAACATTGTGATCAATGAAGAAGAGATTGATGTTGTCAAGGATTTCA